TACTAAATAGGAATGTACCGAATGTATTCATTGGCCAAGACGTTCTACTATCTTTGATACTAAATAGGAATGTACCGAATGTATTCATTGGCCAAGACGTTCTACTATCTTTGATACTAAATAGGAATGTACTGAATGTATTCATTGGCCAAGACTTTCTACTATCTTTGATACTAAATAGGAATGTACTCGAATGTATTCATTGGCCAAGACGTTCTACTATCTTTGATAATTGATAAGAATATATTGGATTCATACTTGAAAAAATACATTAGTTTCATTAGGGGAAAAAAAAACTATACTCTCTTGTATACTTCGTTAGTTTTATTAGGGGTAGAAACTCTACTATCTTCGTTACTTGGTAGGTATCCGTTAGTTTTATTAGCGGGTAGAAACTCTACTATCTTGGATACTTGATAGGTATCCGTTAGTTTTATTAGCTCTCTCTTATATCTTGATACTAATATTTTGGTTCTTTTAGACATTTTCTGATACTTACTATGGACACAATATTTTGTCAAATAACTGATAATTTCGATTTTGTTACGTTTCCTTAAAACGATAAGATTGTATTTTCAGTCGAAACACAAAACCTATAAAATTAGTCAAAGTTTCAAAGTTTACGGTGAAGAAAAGGCTTAGAGATAATGTTTTACTCTTCTTTAAAATGTAAACATTTTCTATCCTCTCGTGCTTCATTGTTACACATAAATTACCTAAAACGCAAGTGACTTCAGAACAAGTTACTTTACATACAAGCAGAGGCGTCGCTAAGCACTGGCACACATGGCCCGTGCCCCAATTCTATTTGACAGTACCCCCAGTCTCCAGTTAGTGTTTTGAAAAATCAGAATAGGAAACCATGAACGATATTATACTGAAACGTTGAAAATTATCGCGCCTACGGGTTCGAGCCCCGAATCTTTTAAGCACCTAGCGACGCCTTTTCACACAAGTGATTTTACATACAAGTGATTTTAGACCCAAGTTATTTTACATACAAGTGACTTTACGCACAAGTTATTTTACATACAAGTGACTTTACACACACGTTATTTTACATACAAGTGACTTTACACACAAGTTATTTTACATACGAGTGACTTTACACACAAGTTATTTTACATACGAGTGACTTTACACACAAGTTATTTTAGGTACGGACTTAGCATGAATAAGCTTTTGTGAGATTAATCATAAGAACAAAATTTATGTAGGTCTTAAAGTCCAACAGATATTCTTGTGAAAACACGTGGAAAATATTCCGTGGGAGATAAAACGTACTGCATGTGCCACGTGATATAACGTTGACCATTCCTATTTAGGAAGTAACTAATACGAGCTCATCTGTTTCTTGAGTCTAACTAGTAATAGTGCCTCGAGCTACCTTTGTAGGTCGATGATTAAACGCGAGAGCTAACAGAATTCTAGGATTGAGTATTATTACTTGTTGTAAAAATTAATTGAACCACCCAACAGGATACGTGCGTACGCGATAAAGCCGCGGGACCTCGTCTGTTTCATAAGTGATGTAACAAGATTCGTCCCACAGATGGTATCAGTAGCAAAAGGACGCCTGGTTGTGGAAATATGAGCTTCAAAAAGCTGGAATAATCTAGAGAAGAATCTAGAATTTTCAGGTCAGCACTTACAGATGAAGCAACGCAGACAGAAGACTGTGGCCAGTCTTACCAAAGTCTAAAATGTTTAAACCTTTTTTTTCTTTGTAATTTTAGTTTTAAATTTTAATGTTTCTGTTCTATAGAATCTCCTATTTTGCTATGTTTCTGTTGATTGGAGAAATCCTTTGAATTTATTCGGAATTGTTGTATGTATACGTATAGATACAATCTGTTCAACTTCTAATCAGGAGAAGACCCAATCTGAAAAAACTTCAAACAAGGCCTTATTTGCTGGAGCCCAGATTGTGGGCGAACTGAAAGAGGAGACTGGAGTCCTTGGCCATATTCAGCATAGCATGAGGTAAGGTATAGAATAAAGTTAATTTTTCTGTTTTCCTTTTGAAATTCAATCAGATTTTTTGTAACCCTCAGATTGTTCAGTTGTTTTTATACCGTTCACTACCGGTAGGGGTCTTATACATATTACATCGTATTGAGTAATTTTATGTACTTTTCCTGTTACAACACTCATTGTGATGAGCTTACCAAAACCTTTGTGAAGGCATTAATTTATAAAATACACAGTGGAATACACCAGTAATTAATGGGATTAATTAATTGAGATAATAATGATGACCTTACTTACATTTTTTGTGTCACTTATTGTACCGTCAAAATTAATTATCCATTATTATTAGTCAAATAATAAAGGACAATCAGTTGTGACGGTATGATCGCATGCTATTCAAACACCTAAAGTATCTTAGGTTGCTATTGGTAAGGAAAGAACAACAAGTCCAACCAAACAAACGGCTTAAATTTCACTACCACATAAGATTTTTTTTTATTTGCTCTTCCAAGAAATACTGTTGAATCGTGAACTCGGCGAAACTAGTCTACTGCAGTGGAAGTAGCGAATTAAAGAATAGATTAACCCTCTATTTCAACTTTTCTTCACTGAAATTCACGTTTTGGTGAGAAAAAAGAAATTAATAAATTACTCCATTAAGTATTTGTGTGATAAATAGTTTAGTAAAATATGATTTTAAAAAAAAAGGTGATAGAGACTCTTTCGGTAACTACGTGGCTAATTCATAGACCTGTAAGTGTTATCAACATTTTTTTTACAAAATTTTTCGGATACTCTATGATGTATAAGTTTAGTTTTCTGTTAAATGCACAAGAAATGGAAAAAATAACAAAGCGGAGATTATGACGAATATGTATTTCCTTACAGTTCATAAGGAGAAATATATTATTAAAATTTAGCTTAATCTTATTGAGTGATAACCGAAACTTTTTCTCTTTCTTTTTTTTTTTTGAAGAATACTTAAATTAGAAGAAACTATCGATATTTACTTGCAGATAAAAAGGTAAAACATTTATCGGTTTCAGTGTGTATAACACTTGCTTTTGTTTAGTCAGATTATCTGCTTTTGTGATCTTGTTAAAAAGTTACCGGTTTTTTTTTACTGGGTATAACACCTGTTTTATTTTGTCAGAAAATATCTGATTCTGTGATCTTGTTAAAAAGTTACCGGTTTAACTGCGTACAACACCTATTTTGCTTAGTCAGAATATCTGCTTGTGTGACCTTAAAATGTTGACGGTTTCATTGTGTAAAACGCCTGTTTTGCTTAGTCAGGATATTTGCTTCTGTGATCTTGTTAAAAGTTACTGACTTCACTGTGTACAACGCCTGTTTTGTTTACTCAGAATGTATGCTCGTGTGATCTTGTTAAAAAGTACCGGTTTCACTGTGTAAAACACCTGTTTTATTTAGTTAGAATATCTGCTTCTTTGATCTTGTTGAAATGTTATCAGTTTCAATGTGTATAACACCTATTTTGTTCGATCAGACTATCTGCTTTTGTGATCTTGTTTTGATTCTAGAGCAATTAGCCATAATTTGAAATCTCATGAACTAATAGAATACAATAGTAACTTTTTTTTTTTCCTGAGGTTTATTTCTTTCAGTCAAAAAAAAAAGAAGAAACTATATACTGTAAGAGTTCAGAATTTGGCATTTTCAAACAAACTTACTTAAGAACTTATAATTAATGACTTTACGCCTATTTCCCCCATGCTAGACGCTGTTTTCATATATTTATATATTAAATAATCTATAATAACAACTGTAGATCTTCAAGTATACTCTTCTTATCAGTACTTATCTGATACTGAGCTAATGCAGATATCACGCTACATGAAGATAACAAGACGGTTATATACTCTGATTGTATTAATCGGTAATCCCAAACATCCATGCGATTAGGTGATATAAAAAGCTGATTTTAAACTCTCTTGGTGGACTAATTTTAAGGTTTTGATATCCCTCCCAAAACCAGTAAACATACATTAGGTTAGTAAACATAAGTTAATATATATCAAGAATGACACTCAAAATTGTATATTTGAAGCCTTCTATTGTTTGTGTGTGCAGGTTATCTGACCATTTAAACACAACACCAGAAGATCCAGAAGACACTGACCACCAAGAAAAAGAATATAAGTGTGAGAAGTGTCCGAAGACTTTTAACTGGAAAAGTAATTTGATTCGTCACCAGGTGTCACACGACGATTCTCGTAACTATATGTGTGAAAACTGCAATAAGGTGTTTACAGACCCCAGCAACTTGCAACGTCATATCCGTTCCCAGCACATTGGAGCCCGTTCTCATGCCTGTCCAGACTGCGGAAAGACCTTCGCGACCTCTAGTGGCCTTAAGCAACATATGCACATCCACAGTAGTGTGAAGCCGTTCCGTTGTGAAGTTTGCTTGAAAGCTTACACTCAGTTTTCTAACTTGTGTCGTCATAAAAGGATGCACGTGAACTGTCGAATGCAAGTAAAATGTTACCAGTGTGGACAGAGTTTTCCCACTGCCTCGTCTTTGTCCAAACATAAAAGATTCTGCGAAGGAAGTGTTCTACAGCAGGATGACAGTGTCGTGCCTGAGAAGTCCAACTATCTTCAAAACCCAGAACTATCCTCAAACGTTTTAAAACCATCACCCGCATCATTACCGTTCTACCACAAGCAGTTGTATCTCAATTATCCTCCGACTATTATGGGATACCCCATGTTTTCTATGCCGCCAGTGTCTCCTTTTCATTCCTTGTTACCTAATGACCGACTCTCAACAGCATTTAACACTTTTCACCTTAACCAGCTTCAGACTTATAATAACGTATCAGGAGAATCCGACTTGACTCCACACGAGTCCAATTATGAAAGCAAAGACTCCGAAATATCAGAAGACCAGAGGTCAGATGGTGAAGATATATCCGTGTCTCTGAGCGAAGAAGAAGAAGAGGAAGAAGAGAACGAGCAATTATTTGACAATAACAATTGCCATTTGAAATCTGACTCCAACACTGGAAACATCAAAGAGCCTATTGCATTTCATAAAAGGTATCAACAGATTAAAAACTTGAACCTTCCTTGTCAGTTCTTTCCGCCATCGAATAAAAAATTAAAGTTAGAAGAGAACACGTCAACTAATGACGTTTCGTCTGTGCCTTTTGATTTAAGTAAATCTTCTACTAAGAAGTGCAAGAGTGACACAAAACAAGAAATAAAAGACTTTAATACTGAGCTGATTAGTGACGAACCGCTTGACTTACGGGTAACAACAAGTAAAGAAGTTTCAGATATTTCTAATGATAAGATTAACGAAACAGAAACCGAAGCTATGAATTTAAAGAAAGAACCTCAAATGACAGAGGCGAATGGAAAATCATTAAATATATCATCGAAAAATAACGATAAATCGCCAATTACTGCGACCGCAGCAAACGTTGTGAGTTCATCTCACCAAATACAACAAACACAAAATGTTCTACCTCAATTTTCAAATTTATTGGGACCTCCTTCTGTTAGTATTCCTTACCGAGGTCCACTTTTTAACCCTCGTTTCACGAGTGGCGCTTTTAATCCTTTTGGTTATATTCCTTCCTATTTCAACCCAGGCAAAGGAATTCTGGAAGATATGAGTCCTTTATTATCTAGGAAACACAAAGAACGTTATTCCTGCAAGTTTTGTGGTAAAGTGTTCCCTCGCTCGGCCAATCTCACTCGCCATCTTCGGACCCACACGGGAGAACAGCCGTACAAATGTAAATACTGTGAAAGATCGTTCAGTATTTCTTCCAACCTTCAGCGCCATGTCCGTAACATCCACAACAAAGAGAAGCCCTTTAAGTGTTCGCTGTGCGATCGAAGTTTTGGACAACAGACCAATCTGGATCGACACTTAAAGAAACACGAATCAACGTTATTTGATGCAAGCCTCAATGAAGTCGAAGAGGAAGAAGAAATGATAGAAGTAAAAGACTCTCAGATCACTGCAGACTCCCCCAAGAACAATCATCCAGCATTGCCTTTTACCAGAGAACTAAGAGGAGGTGAAAAGGGTCAATCCTCAGAATCTCTCTGCTCCACAAACTCCGAAGAAGACCAAGAAATGGAAACTTTTAGCGAAGATGGTGAACTAAAAGGTCCTTTAGTTTCTTTAGAAACAAAGCCAGAGTCCAAATCCATTCCAATTAGTAGTCCTCTCTCCTCTAGTTTGTCATGGAAAGTGACCACTAAGAATACGACTACAGCCCAAAGATTACAGTATCAAGAGAAAGGTGTTGTTAGTAACCAAGGTGTTGAACTTACAACGAAAACCCGCACAGAGGGGCCTTACGCCGCAACTGGAAAGAGTTACATGGTGATGGTTTAATCTAGAAGGACTCGTTTATCCATCACTAATTTATTTTTTTTGTAATATACAATCGTATTCACGCGATGATTGATTTTCAAATGACTTGAATTGACACTTTGATAATTTAAAATTCATTATTTTCACCTTGACGAAAGTTGTGCCTGACCAAAGACTACATTTTTTAAAATCTTTTCTCTAGTCTTGTTTTTCGTCGATGTAATTCATTTCTGAGTACTTTTTTTTTATCTTGTAGAAGTGTTTGTAGTGACTTGACGTTTGAACCATTTAATGTACAGCGGACCGTATTTCCAAGCTGATAATAGATTTTTTTAATCGAGATTAATGTAAAAAATTTGTTTGATTATTCTTTCAATAAACAAACAAACATATAAATAACTGGTGGTTTTTGTTTAGTTTATAGTTTTCTAAATGAAAACCTATTATTAATTGTATTGGAGGCCTTTAAAGGTGATCATCAGTATAATTAACACCACAATTCAATATTTCCAACCGGAACGACTCCTTCTGAGATAAATATGCTAAACGTCCAAGTCAGAGGCTTCAGCTTTCAGGCATAGCCATTCCTAATTTAAAACTACTGACAACCAGAGGGAGGAAAACCACTCATTAGTACCCACCGCCTCCTTGGTTTACTCTTCACATAATAGTAGGATTGACTGTTAGATAAAACGGGCACAAAACTGAAAATTCTGAATTTTTTTAGCTACATTTCGTGGACTCCTAATTATAGCGGCTTTTAACGGTTAACAGTTTATTTGAAAGATGTAGTCTAGTAGTTGTTATACACAACACTGAATTTTCTAGAGTTATATTATAAACGACCTTAATTTGTATAAAAACAATAAATCCAACTATGTACATGATGTCTTATTTTAATTATACAATTTCTTGGAGACACAATGCACAGTCTGATAATGGGTTCTGACTTATCTGTCTTATTTCCAAAAATTGTAGAAAATAGAATTAAAACTGTATAAAATTCTACACATGAACAAACACAGCACGTTTTATGTTTTGTTTTCTAACATATACCATCACGTGATCCATTTGAATTTTTTTCTACATTAAAGTGGGTAACATATTTAATTATTGACTGATATAGTAGAACAGATACAATATATTTTGGTACAGCTTTACCTTCGGTTTCCTTCGCTACACAAACTCGCGTTCACTCGTTGTAAACATTTGCAGATGTACAGATTTGGAATAGAAAAATGCGTTGCACAGATCTCAATACAACATTGTGAACATTTGCAGATGTACAGATTTGGAATAGAAAAATGCGTTGCACAGACCTCAATACAACATTGTGAACATTTGCAGATGTACAGATTTGGAATAGAAAAATGCGTTGCACAGACCTCAATACAACAGACTGACAGTATAGATATGTATACAACAAAACCTTTTATATTTGGTTCTTAACTGATATAAGCATCTAAATACAACAATACTTGCTTGCTTGCTGTACATACTTGAATACAACAATACCGCTGTACAGAGTTAAATACAACATTTGCTGGGTAGGTTTCACTAAAATCAGAACACTTATACAGTTAGACCAGAGTGCTTAGAGAACTTGAATGATTTTTATACAGCAATACTTGTTATATATTTCTGAAGAAAATAGTAACCAAATTATCAACATACACATTAAATGCTCCTGTGAGAGATCTCAGTACACATTAATTGCTACTGTGGGGGGTCTCAGCACATTAATTGTTGATGTATTAGACATTAAAACCAAAAATACTACCCGTGTTGATCCTAATACAAGGAAAAATCCTGTATTGGTCTAGTTGTGCGAACGAACCCACTTTTGGACCACAAGTAAATATTAATTCCACCAGCTACCATATCTACTTGCAGGTAAACAGCGAAACCAGTATCATTAGCACAATTATTAGGACTTTAAACGTACTGAAAGGCCAACTGTACCGTTTCATAGTACGGAGTGAATGGGTAAGATACATAACCTATTGAACATGCAAACACTGTACGGTAAAATCACGTTCTAGCCAAGATATATCCTTCATATTTTCATTTACGCTACGGCAGCGAAAAAACGCTTCAGAAGGCTGTGGCTGTTTATAGTACTATACCCACATATTCCTAGCCAGTCCGATACGGTGCTTAAATTGAAAGACTCGCGTGACATATGCCTCAATACAACAATCGCCTTCTGTACAGACCTTAGTAGAACAATATGTGTTGCATAAGCCTCAATACAACAATCGCCTTTTGTACAGACCTTAGTAGAACAATATGTGTTGCATAAGCCTCAATACAACAATCGCCTTCTGTACAGACCTTAGTAGAACAATATGTGTTGCATAAGCCTCCATACAACAATCGCCTTCTGTACAGACCTTAGTAGAACAATATGCGTTGCATAAGCCTCAATACAACAATCGCCTTCTGTACAGACCTTAGTAGAACAATATGTGTTGCATAAGCCTCAATACAACAGTCGCCTTCTGTACAGACCTTAGTAGAACCATATGTGTTGCATAAGCCCCAATACAACAATCGCCTTCTGTACAGACCTTAGTAGAACAATATGTGTTGCATAAACCTCAATACAACAATCGCCTTCTGTACAGACCTTAGTAGAACAATATGTGTTACATAAACCTCAATACAACAATCGCCTTCTGTACAGACCTTAGTAGAACAATATGTGTTGCATAAGCCTCAATATAACAATTGCCTTCTGTACATACCTCAATAGAACAATGCATTCTTTACGGGTTTTAATAGAACATTGTGTTCTGTAAAGCTCTCAACACAACGAGAACTGCTACAATGTGTATCCTGTGGGTACTGTTATACACACACATATGTATATATACAACATGAACTGTTGTGGAGATCTTCATTCTTAGAACAGTAGTTTATGCGTAGATTATGAAATATAAATCTAAAAATAAGTTAAGCTGTTGGCAAACTATGGCTTAAGCATAATAAATCTTAGTTTTTTCTTGTTGGGTGTGAAAGAAAAATCTTTTAGTAATTAATTTTTAAATGACGACCAAGGAAGAGGTTATTTATCATCGCCCCTAAGTTGCATTCACGAAATAGCAAATAAAGAAAATTCTTCTTCTGAATAAAGAAGAACCAGGCTGGAATTATTATCACAAAACTACGATATTGCAAGAATTATTTAATGAAATATGAGTAGATTAATTTTTATTATATATATATAATATTTATAAGGTAATATATATATATACTAAAATCCTTTAGTTTATGTTGCGTTAAATGTCAAAAAATTATGAAACTAAGCTATGATTCAATTTAATTTTGATCATAGGTTGTTATTTAAGTAATAACGATTATTAACTTTTTTGCGCCTTTTCTAAACAGATTTTATACATATCTATAAACGTAAATATAATCACGACCTATATCTCCAGAATGTAACTTTATTAGCTCAATATTTCGCTATTACAGCTTCGTCAGGAACTATGGATATCCTACAAGTTCACCAATCCAGTTAAATCTAAATTGGAACACTTAAAATTATTTATCAACATTATTAAGGTGTTGTTTCTCTTCATAGACAAAACACTCTGATCAGTTACATTAAAGTAATATCTGCTGTTTTATAGAACATTCTAGAATCATTTAAATAGTCTTTTGTGTGTGTGTCGATGAAGTGGGTCTGTCGAAGAAACATTTCGCACATTATGAGCGTTTTCATTTTTCGATCTTCTTGAGGATATATTAAAAGATATATGTATATACCTTTATTGAGTAAAATATCTTGAGTTTTCTAACCTAGTAACCAACCCTTTGTGATGGTCATTCTTTTAATCTTAAAGACATGCCCATTCTCCTTGTTAAAAGTTTTTACGAACTTTCTAGATCTGACGTCATCATCATGATTAGCAGCTCCCTCTAGCACGTTAAAAGGAACAAGAAGAAATAGACATTATCACCCACAGACGTTTTAACGGCTAATTTTTCTGATATATCTCTCTAGAGACGTAAAGGTTGATCACACATAGAATCAAATCCAAAAATGATGAAAAACAAACAACTAAGTCGTTTCATAGACACATTGGCTTCTGATCCTTCACGATCACTGTGTTTACTAACAATATAGCACCAGTGGAGCACGTGATTATATTTCTTGTGTTATAAACGCAACTGCTAAAGATAAAACAAAGAATAAATGTTGCTAACAAGCTTCTCCATTCATACTAACTAGTCCTACGCGTCCCGCTGCTTTGTAAAATTAACAAATGTAAATATGGCGCAACATACGATTTTTTTTTCTAAACAGTTACCATGAAAAGGCTTAAAAGCACGTCTTTTTCTACATGTCAATGTCACAAAGTCTTTTTGATCAATATTTCCCCTCCAATACCTTCTAGATGAGGGTAGAGATTACTATATTCTCAGCTTAAGAGACACACGAAAGTAGAAAGTGCTGATAAAGACATCAAATGTTGCGGACCATACTGCTGTGCTCCACTTGCTTTTCTTCTACAGTATAACAAAGAAGGGAATCTCAACCGGTGCTGAAATACTATGGATCTATTCTTTGGGGAGCTCGCGCCTGCGTGGTTCTGAAGAGTCGGCTACTGATCGCCTCATCAGAGTGATCATGGCTTTTCTGTAAAGGTCTTCAATCTTTAGAAGTCTGGTAACAAACATCATAGAGGGGAGGGGTGAAAAATGTACTGGGCTACATCTTTGTTCCAAACAGACAGCCCCGCCGGGCGGGCTCTGGGACCTTTTTAACATAACAAAGATGTTTGGTGAAGTCTCCCGCGTGGCAGGTGAGCCGATTCGCGCCTTGGAAAAAGGACGTTCATACGATCATGTTTAGGTCTTTTATGTAGCTTATCGCCTCGGGCTTGATCCCTTTACCGAAGTCCTCTAGTGGCCAGAAGGGGATGATGCGACAACAATAAGAGTTTCCATCTGTATGTCTAGGACAGATGAAGAGATCAAGGGAACGCTACCTTCAATGGGTCCTGAGCTTCAATAGATGTTCCTGGCTTCACCAAAGACGAAAGTACTGTTGTGTCACTTCTGGCTCAACACTTCGCCAGAAAGAGAGTGGAGATTAACAACGTTCTGGGAAACTTCTAGATCAAACTTAGAGACCGTGTCCTGTGAAGGGTAAGGCTTGGAGGTTCATAACAGAGGATTAAAAATTGTCACTTATGTCATTTACATTCTGGCTGGAAAGCGCCACCCATATATATATATATCAACAGAGATATGTGTAAAACAGACGTAATTAGATGAATGAGAGTCTATACGTTTGACGGATTATTCTTTCAGATGATAGCTTTACTAAAACAGGACATTCTTAGAGTGTGTTATATTCATGTCGTAATTATGTGCAAAACAATACAATG